ATGGAAGATGAATGGGAGGTGGCTGTCCATAAACGACTTCATATGGAGTAGTTTGAATTGCAGAATGGAAATTAGTATTGTACCACCACTCAGCTAAAGATAACCACTTAGACCATGAGGAGGGTGTATCAGAGCACATACAACGAAGGTAAGTTTCTAGGCATTTATTGACAATCTCAGTTTGCCCATCCGATTGAGGGTGATATGCAGTGGATTTGTTCAAGCAAACTCCCTGAAGTTGAAATAAGTCACTCCAAACTTTGCTAAGGAAAATAGGATCCCGATCACTAGTAATTGTACTAGGCATACCATGTAACTTGAAAATGTGATCCAAGAAAAGTTGTGCAACATCAAGGGCAGTATAAGGGTGGGATAAAGCCACAAAATGGGCATACTTGCTCAACCGATCCACTACCACGAAGATAACTTGTTTTCCCGCTGAAGATGGCAAACCTTCAATGAAGTCCATGCTGATATGATCCTAAACCTTATCGGGAATTGGGAGTGGCTGCAGTAAACCTGGATATGCAGTTAAATCTGGCTTGCTTCTTTGGCAAATATCACACTCTCGCACATATTTTTGAATATCTTTGTTCATGCCCTTCCAAAAGAAAAGAGACTTCACCCTAGAGGCTGTTACATCTCTTCCCGAATGACCACCGAACGGGGAATTATGTAACCAATGAAGAATAGATTTTTGGAGTGCAGAATTAGCCCCTATAACTAGCTTGCCTTTTCTCCTTAATTCATCCTTGTACCATGTAAAATTGGGGTGCAATTTAGTGTTATTTTGCAAATCCTTAATGATTGTCTGCAGTAGAGGATCTTGATGCCAAGAGGCCTTAATGTTGTCCAATAAACCTTCCTGAGCATTGTCAAGCATCATTGGTAGTAATTCAGCCCCAAGTTTGCGAGAAAGAGCATCAGCAGCCTTATTCTCCACCCCTTCCTTATACTGAATTTCGAAATCAAACCCCATGAGCTTGGACATCCACACCTGCTGAAAAGGAGTGTTGAGTCGCTGTTCTAACAAAAACTTGATGCTCTTTTGATCAGTTTTAATGACAAAGGGGCTATGAGATAAATAAGTACCCCATTTTTGGACTGCATAGACAATAGCAAGGAGTTCCCTCTCATAAATAGACATTGCTTGTTGTTTGGGACCCAAGGATTTGCTGATATAAGCAATTGGGTGCTTGTCTTGCATAAGCACTGCACCAATCCCAGTACCGGAGGCATCTGTCTCTACCACAAATGGCTTAGAAAAATTAGGAAGGGCTAGGACAGGAGCTGTAACAAGGGCCTATTTCAAGGCTTGGAACGCAGCAACTGAATCATCATTCCAATGGAAACTGTCTTTCTTCAACATGTCCGTGAGAGGTTTGGCAATTTTGCCAAAGTTAAGCACAAACCTTCTATAGTACCCAGCAAGGCCAAGGAAAGCTCTCAATTGCTTGATGTTAGAAGGTTGTGGCCAGTTTGCTACAGCTTGAACTTTAGAAGGGTCTATTGACACCCCATCCTTAGTAATGAAGTGTCCTAGATACTCAACTTTGGGAGTGGCGAAGCAACACTTGTCTTTTTTTAGGAACAATTTCTGCTCCCTAATAAGTTGGAACACAAGCTCCAAATGAATAGCATGATCTTCTAGGGTGGGGCTGTAAATAAGAATGTCATCAAAGAAGATAATAACAAACCTTCTAAGAAATGAATGAAAGACATGATGCATTAGAGCTTGAAAAGATGCAAGAGCATTAGTGAGTCCGAAGGGCATCACTAAGTATTCATAGTGCCCAGCATGTTTTTTGAAGGCTGTCTTATACTCTTCACCAGATTCCATTCTCAATTGATGATAGCCTGAAGTCAAATCAAGCTTAGAAAAAATTGTAGATCCACCCAATTCATCCATCAAGTCTTCTATCAAGGGAATAGGAAACTTATCTTTGACTGTGTGTTGATTGAGCCTCCTATAGTCAACACATAACCTCCAAGAACCATTTTTCTTCCTCACTAAAACAACTGGGGATGCAAATGGGCTATTACTATGCTGAATAAGACCTTGCTGCAACATTTCTTCAACAAGATTATCCACAATGTCCTTTTGAAATACAGAGTACCTATAAGGTCGGATACTAAAAGGATTGGTTCCTTCCTTTAGGGGAATCCGATGATCAAACCCAGGTCTAGACGGAGGTAACCTATTCAGTTCTCCAAACACATCAGAATACTTATCAATGAGTTGCACAATGATTGGAGGTACCTGTTGCAAAGATTCGACTGAAGTATGCAACTGACAAGAAGGCATCTCCAAATGCTGATTGGGTGGTTCCATATACAAGAAACACATTTGTGCCCCCTGTTGAATGGCTTGAGAAAGAGATTTGTTATTAATGAGTTTAACTTTGGAAGGCTTAGCCCCCCTAAGCAAGACCTTCCTTCCTTTGATCAAAAATTCCATTTGAAGCTTGGTGAAGTCCCACAGTATCGGGCCCAAAGATTTCAACCATGGTATTCCCAAGATTAAATCACAACAACCCAAAGGAAGCACAATCACATCTGCAGTGAAAGAAATTTGTTGTAGTTGCCAATTAAACCCCTTACAAAGATAGGGAGCTCCCAATCTGGTGCCTCCCCCAGCTGTGACCGTCATTGGAGTGATTTTCTCCAGCTTACAACCCAGTCTCTTGGCCACTTCCAAGTCCAAGAAGTTATGTGTACTTCCACTGTCAAGTAAAATCTGCAGTAATTTTTTGTCATGCATACCAGTGACCCTCATAGTCTGATAACCTGGAATTCCTGTCATAGCATTCAAAGATAACTAGGGAGTTTCAGTAGTTAGACCCTCACTACTAACTATTCCAACATCCTCCTCTTTTTCAGTTTCATTATCAACATCCTGGTCCTCCTCATCCAACTCCATCACCAAGAGTTGTGATCTTTTATGTTTCAGTTGGTGTCCCGGTGTGAATAGTTCATCACAAAACATACAAAGGCCTTTAGCCCTTCGTTCAGCCATTTCTGCAGCGCTAAAGGTTCTAGGAATTTTGTTAAACACTGGTTTTTGGTTCTGGTTCAGTGTGGCATAGGTATTGGCCAGAAGAGGTTTAGGATTCAAATGTGCAGGTCTAACAATGGAGTAACCCGTTCTATTGTTAACCTTGCTCACAGAAACCCTGGAAGCTTCATACAATTTGGCAAGATTAGCGGCATGGGCAATTGAATTGGGATTGAACATGCGCACATGCATCTGTGTGCTATGTTCTAAACCAGTTAAGAAAATACTCAGAGTGATCAGGCAGCAAAGATACCTAAGTCAAAGCCAACTCAAACTCATCAACATAATCTTGAATTGTACCGGATTGTTTCACTTGAATCAATGAAGAAAGTGGGTCGTCATAGATCTCTCCAAATCGCATGGTTACATCTGTTACATATTGCTGCCATGGTGGGTATATATCAAACTTATTCCTCATGTAATTCAAGTGCCACTGAAGGGCGATTCCATCTAAATGGATGGATGCTAGGCGAACTTTGGATTCTGCAGGAGTACCATCCAACATGAAAAATTGGTCACATTTATACAACCACTCTTTCATCCTTTTTCCGTCGAACCTCGGAAATTCAACCTTTGATATTCTCGTGGAGTATGAGTGGTGACTCGATTTAATATTTTCAGAAAAGGAGTTGTTGTTTTTGATGATCGAAGAAGCTTCATTTTGATTCTGTGATGCTTGCGTACACAAGAGACTCCTAATTTCCTCCATGCTCACACTCATTTGTTCCAGCCGAGCATTGATTTCTGCATGCTTGTCATCGACTTTCTTCTCAAGGTCGGCAATGGCAATTTGGTTGCGGGTGGCAGCGGCCATTTTCAAAATACCAGGTCAAAGCTCTGAATACCAATTGTGACAGGATTTGGATTTTTAGGGAGAACCGGTAAAAATCCTTAGTTCTAAACAGGAGCCCCAATGAAGGAATAGAGCTCGGTGCAAAGAACCCGTATTGCGTAGCAGAGAATTAGTTAGAAGAGAGAGAATAATTTTTCAAAAGTGAATCATTTCATTCCTTCCACTTGGCAGCACATCTAATAATATGCACGAGTATTACACCCTGCCCATGCAATCTAGAATCTTCTACCCAGCCACATCAGCTTGTAAAATAGAGAAAAAATCTCACAGAAAAAAAAATAAAAGCCCAAAAAAATAAAAAGCAAAAATACCAAGGTATAGGAAAAGAGAAAACTCATGACATTTGATTATTGTTAACAGTAGATAATTACTGTAACACATGCACTCCGGTTCCACGTTCAAATAACCAAATTTGATCCGGGTGGATGTAATATCACATTTCTATTTTTTATTCATCATACATTCAATAAGCACTAGAATCAACTTAATGAAAAGAAAGTTTGAATGACGCACAAAATTCTAAATTCTAGTCTTGCCGTCTTTATACACCAAAAAAAACAAATCAGACATTTATTAACTCTTTCGATACAAAATCAGTGGACCTAGCTGGGATAGAAACTGAGGTCCCAACCTAGTTGTCATCTTTGGCACTATTGTGATACTTTGCATGTCATTTTTTAATAATAAAAAACATATCAGTGGACAATAATGTTGACACAACATTTATGCTTTGTTTGGATTATTTAAATAAATAAAAAATAAAAAACTAAAAAAAATAATGAAACAGAAGATAAAATAGAAAAGTTATGTTATTTGAAAAATAATAAGTGAAAAAAACTTATCTCCACTTATTAAGATGAATGAAAGAAAAAAGAATTATATATATATATATAATAATAATTTTCTTCCCATCTCATTCCTATTTTCCAGAAATGTTTTCTTGTGAAACTCGAAAAAATAACTTTCTTATTTATCTCCTCAAACTAGCAGTGAAAATATAGTATTTCCATCTATCTTCTTTCCCCCCTATAGGGTTCAGGGTTTAGCAGTGAAAATACAGTATTTCCATCCTGTCCTATCAAGCTCAATACATGATATAACAACACATGTATAAAAATTGCATTCTAAATCATAAGTGTTAAAAACATTCACCCAAAATTAAAGCTAAGAGTGTTATAAAAATTCACCCAAAAGTAAGCAAGAAGTACATTTTCTTTTTCATTGCTCATAATTTTGTTGTGTCAGAGACTCGGGTGTATAATTTCAATCCAAAATTTTTAACTTTCATCAGCTTAATAAACTAAACAAATCCTTGAAGTACAGGCAGTGATGGGAACTTAGTGTAGTTTAGCAGCATAAACATCTCTATAAAATTATTATGCCTGCATCAATTACTAAGAAATTTCCGCCTTTTGGTCGTGTTCATGTAAGGTCTAATGACCCATTCTATTTGAGCTTCAGCTTGATCCACCGTTCCCAATTTTATCTGCAACAAAATCATTGAAGAAAATGAGTAACGAATCACTTGTTGAACAGAGTTGTGGTATCAGGACTAGCTCGGTCTCATTTCAATGACAATCAAATCAGGAAGAAGACTAGAGTTTAAGGTAAAGCAATGAATGCAACAATAATAAAAGAAATAAAACTATCGTAAGAACTACTGTGAGCCTGTTTGTATACAAGTTATAAGTGCTTTTAAGAATTTCTTTATTAGAAATAAAGAATATTTTCCAATAGAGAAACTCTTAAAAACACTTTTAAACTTATATCCAAATAGACTCTGTACCTATGATCCTATTTAATCTTGTAAGTTAGGATGCAAAATATCCACTTTAAGCAGCTATGGTTCACCACTGGGTGCCAAAAATTTAAAAAACAATGCTTGATCACAATTTAAAGAGATACCGATTGAATTAGTCTAGATTTTGTCAAGCAGATACATTGCATTCATGATCTACAAAAATTAGAGGTCACAATACCATGATGTTTAAATGAAAACAAATTATAATGAAATGAAATCAACATTAAGTTTATGAACAATATGCATAATGATGATGATAGACTGAAAATATATCATAACTCGTGTAAAATAATCACAAAATTATGCAAAATCTTAAACCCTAGTTGCAACAATGCGTCAAATCATAAAGAAATTGAAATTTATTTATTAATTTTAGTAGCATGTAGTTAATTATTTCCTTCCAACTGGAAGATAATCCTTTCACAAGGATAATGAGCTTAATTGTGATACATACCTGATAAAGTCGTAACTCAAATCGTGGACCAATTTCTTTCAGCTCTAAAGATTTAGGGCCCCCATGCTTTTCATAAATATGATGCCTGTATGTAATAGACACAATTTCAAATGAAGCAAACATACTCTAACCAGCTACAGTATTTAGAACTTGAACAAGTAATTGTAAAGAAGCTTAGATGCACAAAACAAGATACATTGACCCAACCTGAATGAGATATAGTCAGACTGGTTGGAAAAAGTGACAATACGTTTTGTGTCTGGTTTTGGCACTGGAAAAAGATGCTTGAGAATGTTTGCTGTCCTGTCACCTAACTGTTTAATGTCCAAAAGAAATTCCAAACAAGATGAGCAGTCAGCATACAGAGCAGTGTAATTATTAGTAATTACTTTTGTTAAAGTTGAGTTTGCCAGAGCATATTTTCTAAAACAGATACTCGGGAGTCAGGAAATAAGAGAAAAGAATACCAAAAAAGGTAACTGCAAAGTGCAAACAGATTATGATCCTATATTCCTATATGAATCATGAATTACCAATGCTTTCAATGTAACTGGTTCTTGGCAGACTCTAACTTTTTTCAAAGAAAAAAGGATGCAATATATTATGAGAAATAACTTTAGTGATCAAAATTCAGATATCACTAATAGCCCAGTAATTGAACAGCTTTCATTTTCTGAATTGAACTGAATTCAAATCTCAGTTATACAATTTCTTATTTCAAAGACCCACAAGTACAAGGGATGTAATTAAAAAATTCAGCTATATTAGTTACACAGACTAGTACTCAAGTGATTGGCAGCACACACTCTCAGCTCAGGCTCAAGTTCAAGTATTATAAGACCCAACAAATACTAGATAAATAGAGGGTAACTGGTACTCATAATGAGAAAATTCTCTCACACAGGATAAATTCTCAACTCAATACAACATAGCTCAGGAAGTATAGGCAAACTGAAAATAATGAGGGAATGGTAAGAGGCTCCTTCCTTGCAAGATGAATAGAAATAAATAAACTACAATAAAATAACACTCTTTGTGAGAAAGGACACCTTTATCTCAGCCTGACCTCACACATTTCCAATAACAGAATCCCCCCTCTCAACCACCCCACCTCCCTACTAGAATTGTTTTCATTTCTCTCCCCACTCATCAATTGTCATGAGTCTTTTTCAGTTATGCCCCCTCCTAACTGCTTCCTCTCCCTTCAATTCCCATCCTACCCTTACCACTCAACTGCTGGCCAAGTAAGCCTAACAATGGATTGGACTACCCATCAAAGTACTGCTCCCAACATTTTGGAAATTACAACACAGCATTTTGGGCATGCTTCTATCATCCTTTTCTCAATGATGTAACTTCTATTCTCTCTATTGGTATAAGATCGTGTCTATTACTCTCATATATCCACTCATGCACCACAACATTCCCATTTCTGCAATCACTTAATTAATGCAACTGTCAGCACTTCCGAGGGAGATAAGAAATTTAAAATTTGATTAACCTGTCAAATGCTCAAACCACAACCTAACCCCTGCCAAATAGTCAAACCACAACCAGTTTGTACATTAGCACACTTGAGCCATTAGAAACACATTCTCCTTTGCTAAACCCAGTTCATTTCATATCATCCTGGTTTCAAGAACCAGACCAGATTTGCCAGAGGACTGGCTCCTGGTTAGCCATTGCTTTTTAAAAATACTGAGATTTACAATCAACATGTCAACAGTGGAATTAAATATCCACCTAGTAACATCTTTAAATAAAGTTTTTACAATGCTTTAGTCTGCAACATGAAATCAAGATACAGCCTATATAAGTTAATTTTACATCCTCATTTAAATACTTCAAAAAACATTTTGAACCCTAATCATAACATCAAAGAATTTAGATACAAGCCAATGGTACTTCATGACCTGTAGTAGTTATCAGCAGGTCCATTGATGAAGGCAACAGACCATTACCAGTGAAATTTAGTACATAATAAGATAATAAAGCTCATACTGAATTATGAATACCTTGGTTGAGAAATTATCAAGAATCAGATGTGGATAAGCCTCAGGCATTGTTCCAATGGCTTTCCTGTCTTTAATTTCATGCCTTGTAACCTACAAGAAACATGAAATTAGCATATTTCCCCTAAAATCAACAAGGAACACTGTAAGACTGATACTTACCACATTGAGTAATCCAAAATATGCAGTTGGACCAAATGGTAGATGACAAACAATTAGACCGTCTGGGACACCACGATGTTCATGAACTAAAACAACATCTGTATAGTCATGTGCACGACAAGATTCTATAATCTCTGATATAACCTGAAATGCAAGGAAAATTGCATATATATAAATACTAGGGTAGACAAAAGACTGTTACGCATTAGCAGAATTCTAGTCAATTAGTTCAAGGTGCCTAGAATTAATAAGTAATTATATTTCAGCTATATATATAATCATGCTTAATCAACAAAGTATTGAACAAACAAAGAAAAGATTTTGACCATATGAAAAAAAAAAATGATTGAAGATTACAATACTCAAGTGAAGTTTGTGCCACACAACTAAATAAATTATTGTCAAACATATATGAACATATGTTTTAAACTGCACCCAGTAACAGAGGATATATTTGAAGATAAATCTAATTCAGGAAATTCTTTTGCATCCTCTCCATATAAGCACAAAACAAGTCCACCTGACATCATGATATGGAAAAATGGCTCACAATGAATGCAACTAATTGAAGCTGAGATGCGCTGAGGCAGACATTTATTCCACCTAGATCACTCACAAAAATAATATAGAAATTCCTACACTAGAAGAGGTACAGCTAAGAAGACAGAGAACTATTTTCATCTCAAACAATAGACTAGTTACATTATAATGTAAGAAATGTACGAATTAGAATAATAAATCCTAGTGGTAAAGTTATTAATCATGCAATGCCTTCAATTGTGTCTGTGTAATATCAATTTCTTTAACATGAAGCAAGAGGAGTAGAGCAAGCATCACATTGGAAGACCCTTAAGCATACATTTGATGTCTTGTACGCATCTAGTTTGGACAAAGCATTCTATTTGAGCACCTACTTTCTTATGGAATAATTAAATTGAAATTCTTGGAGCTGCTGAGCACAACAGAGTTACTTCACCAGTGCTTTTACAGAACATGCCAAAGGCTTTGGAAAGAATAAGAACATGAAAACTCATCATGAGGCTCTTCAGTACACTGACCATTTGAGCAGCACACCAGACAAATCAAGGGTCTTTGCATATGCTACAATATAGGATTGTCATCATCTTCACTCTATCACTTGGTTGGGTTTGGTCATCCACTTATTTCTTATCCTCACCTAGTTCTTCTCTTACTTCTAATTACAAATACATTTTGTTATCTAAAATACATAACCAAATAAACAACCAAATGACCAAATCTTCACCCCACAAACACGCAAAAGACAAGATAATGAACAGTAAACTAGCAAAGACACCAACCTGACCACCACGATTCATTCTCTGCGCATTAGGGAACACAATACTCAACTCCTACACAAAAGAATCGGAGATTACGATAAACATCGAAACAACTGCAAACCACTCAAACAAACAAAACAAAACACAATTTAAACAAAAAGAATCAAAAGAGACAATCACCAAACGCAAACAAAAGCATGCAAACCTTCACAAACTGTTGAAGAGGAGCACTCGGATCCCTGGACGTGGTCAACAAAATCTTAGGATCTTTCTCCGCAGCATATGCGTACTCATCATCAATATGCGTCCTCGGAACTAAATTCAATCACAGACCACCCCGAAACCACATTGAAAGACACAAATAAGTGAAACAAAAAGATATAACTCACAAAAGGTTTATAATAAACTTCAATTTCAAAGTAATTACAAAATTCACACAGAAAAAAGGGGGAAAAATATGATACCAGCTGTGTTTTCATCTTCGAGGTCGATTTCGCGTCGAAGTGCAGCTTCCTCGTTTCTGAGTTCAGTGGGTATGGGTTTCCCTTCTGCAAAATAAATAAATAAATAAATAAATAAAAGAGTGTGTGATAAGAAAAAGGAAGGGAGAAGAAAAGGTAGGTACCTTGAAGAGCTTCTCTGATTTTGCGCTTCTTCTCGTAGAGCAAGCGTTGTTTGCCTTCTAAGCTCTTTCGGTACAAATACTCTCTTCTCAAACGGATGTTTCTACGCAACATTTTGAATACAGCGCCAAACACTGAATAGAGATTGGTGAAGAAACAAACACACGGGCAAGTGTGATGCAGCGGCGCCAAGATGAGGGTAGAAGAAAGGTAATGTCGGAGAAACCCCCTGCCTCTAAAACCCTCCTATTTTATTTTTTTTTATTTTTTTTTTATTTTTAATTTTTAATTCCAATCTTTAAATAAATAAATAAATAATAATAATAATAATAATAATAAAAGCATAATTAAAATCAAATACGGTCAATTAGGTTTTACCAAAAAATTTGTCATCTAAAGAATTTTTTTTTTTAATGCCAGGCATGATCGGGTTGTTATCCCTTTATTATACATATCATTCAAATTTTTTACCACTAATCCGTACTACTAAAATTATTATAAATTCATAATAAATTATATATAAGTGGAAAATTACTACTACAAATTTATAATAAATTATATAAATAAATACTATATTTGATATTTATTTAAATAAATATTTTTAAATATATAAATTATATTTTAGATTTAAGATAAATAATTTATAATTTACTAGTGGAATCGAGATATTTCGTGCCTCTATTAAAAATAAAATTAAAATAAAAATTAAATAATAAAAATATATTGATCTAATTAGTGTTATGATTAATCCATTAATTTTAAGTTCTTAAATTTGATTAAAAAAAATTTAATTCTTTTAAAATAAAGGGTAAAATGGTCAAAAAAATGTGAAAATTAGGATGGTTGGGTATCACTTTTATATATTAGTATAGATAAAAATTAAATAATAAAATTATATTGATCTAATTGGTGTTATGATTAATCCATTAGTTTTAAGTTCTTAAATTTGATAAAAAAATATTTTTTCTAATTTTTTAAAATAAAAGAGTAAAATGGTCCAAAAAATAGGAAATAAGGTAGTTACTAAAAATAGTATCCCTTTATATATTAGTATAGATATTGTAACATAATATTATTTTTAATTATTTATAATTTATTTTAAAATATTAAAATTTAGTTTATAAATAAATATGATAATAAAAACTTGAATCTGATAAAAAGTTTTAAAAAATTTTAAAAATGTCCAAGAATATCTCCTTAAAAATATTTTCATACAATATAATTGTTCTCGTCTAAAATATAGAGATCCAAAGTTATATAATTCATAAATAAGTATAACAAATAAAAATTAAATTAAAAATTTAAAAAGTCTTACAAACTCTTTAGTTGAAAAATAATCCCCAGATATTCTTCTGGAATGTGTTTAATATTTAAAAAATGATATTACCATAAAATATATTTGTAAAACAAAAAAAATAATAAATGAATAAAAATATTAATTGAGCATGATGATAATGATTGTTTATTAGAAAAGTAGTTTGTATATGATATATGAAATTTTGTGAACATATGTAAATATAGATATTTATTATATAATTTAAATATGCTTTTAGTCTATCTATTTTAAGGTTAATTTGTTTTAGTTCTCTCAAATTTAAAAAAAAATTAGTTTTGTAATTTCAAAAAATTTATTTTAATCCTTATATTCAAATTTTGTTAGAAAATTTGTTAAATATTGTTGCATAAAATCTACTTACTGGTATTTTTGTTAGTAAAAATATTATATTAAACCTAGTTGATGATACATAACTGTCTGTTTGTCACATTTAGATATATTATTTGTAACTCTAGGAGTTAAAACAAATTTTTAAAAATTACAAGGACTAAAAACAATAATTTTAAATTTTAAGGGATTAAAAACAAATTTAGGCAAAATTTAAGGAACTAAAACCGTATTTAAAAATTATCATACTAGAAAGGAGTTAAATAATATATATCAAAACCCACATATTTATTTTATCATAGTAAAGTAATAACTTTAGTCAGATGAAATACGAAGAGTAGTCAAATGAAACACGAAAAGTAGTCAAATGAAATATTGGGTATTTTTGTACCAGTTTGTCTTAACCACCAAGACTACGTCTAGTTCTCAATCAAACTAGATTGAGTTCTATTATCTTCAAATAAAGATACAAGTATTCTTCCAACAAGTCATTTTTTGCTCAACCCTAAGTATTGTTTTAACAACAAACCTTTCTTTGCTTAACAACCAAGTATTCTTTTACAAACAAGTCTCTCTAGACTCCAAACAAGTATTCCTTTTCAGACAAGTGTCTTTAGGCTCAATCTTATAATAATGATTCTGAAAGTTACACAAATATTGTGTTTCTCTCAATTAGATGTTATACAATCGGTACACAACAATGAAAATTTACAAGAAAGAATAGATTTTAGAGAGTATATTTTTGTACAAAGATGTATCTTTTATGTAAAAGTATCTCTTATATAAAATCTATTATGTAAAAATGTGTCTCTATCTTTCTTGATCTTTGAATTTTCTTATATAGTAGCTCGAAGAAGATGACCATTGCAACACTTTAACTCCAACTCACAAGTTTATTTGTCTATTTTCATCATATTTTCTTGTGATGGTAGGTAACTGTTTGACCCATTTAAAGTGAGTATTAAATTTATTTCACAAAATGGTATCTCTTATTTGATCAAGGAGACTACTTATCACCTTTTTATACCAAATAGAGCTTGTAGAGGTAATGTCAATGAAATGTAACAACAACAATGACTTTATCTACTTTCTCCATAATTTTAGGAATCCTTGCCTTCTGTTTTGACATAAAGTATGATCTTGTTCTCTTTGACAGATTTGTAAGTTTTGAGATAATCTTTTAGTTTGATTTGTTAAGGAATGAAACATTCAAGAAACTTTTGTCATTAATCTCAATAAATAATAAACATTTAATGTATATGAGACATACTTTATGTTTTGTCTAATTTATAATGTCTTACAGACGATTTGTATCTTATACTTCATCTAATAAGTGTTTTTCAAAGATGTTTTTGAGGATATTTTCTCTTTATAAAAATGTTTTGTTTGTTAGCATTAAAACTCTATGTTTTTAAGGGATTCAAGATCATCTTTTGACTTAACAACTCATATACACTAGATTTTCTCATGATGAATAAAAAATTCATCTCATAATAACAACCAAGTATTTTTAACATCAGAGTTAGGGATAACTATAAAAAGGTTCTTACACCCTTGTTCATCGTATGTCCAATACAAGATTCATCATAAAATAGTAAAAAAGATTTTCAAAATTTAATGTCAAGAAAATGATTTTAACTTCATTATAAAGTAGTATTTTCTTTTTTTGAATTCATCATAATAGTTGCTTGAGACAATTTTTGATGGCCACAAAACTTTTTAACTTCTTCTCCCTTCTCATTTCCTATTTCTTCTTCCCCTTTTAATTTATGGACCTAGTTTTTGATTTGCATGTTTTATTAAAAGGAAGCAAGCAAGAATCGCGGAGGTTAAGGAAGATGTTGCATGAAGGAGAGACCACGACCCACAAAGGAGGCACGACATTGTTGAAGGCAAGACGCACGGAGAAGAGACAAAGTTATGCGGAGGAGGCAATAAGCACAAAGGAGGCACAACGCAACGCGAAGGTATGTGAGTGCAAACTGTGACACGAGACGGAAGTGCCCAACACGGGTCTATTGCACCAAGTTAGGGGCCTCTCTAGTGTCCCCATGCTTAGCATGACTCTCTTCACGACCAATGCAAAGAACTAGGCTCTCACCCAACGCCATCAAGGCATGCCTAGTGATATCCCAGATTCTACACCTCACAAAATTGTGAGCTACATGATCAGGGTTCTCTCCAACCCGTCCACACACATCAAATTGTCTCTTTTATCAATTTAATCAGTAAAACAATTAATTAGTTTCCATATAACAACACAACATTGTCAAATCATTCTAGTTCATCCCATTAACTCAAAAACCCCGAAACTCATAACCCTAAACCACAAACATTACAATTCACCATCATACCAATTAAAGCATAATTTAAGCACGAATTTACTTAGACAACACAACACTGGCAACAATGGAATCATACAAATATATCCACAATAATTCAAAACAAAACCCTAAGAGGTTTAGGGGTTGCCTCATCATACACCTTATATATGCTCACGGATTCAACATCCTCACCTCACTCCTCCTTACCTTAAGCGGTGATTCTATATCATAACACGCTTTTTGTAGCCTTAACAACTACTCGCTTCTTTTAGATTCTCCTTTGCAAGTACTCTTGGGGTTCATAATAGACCTGTGAAAAACTTGACCTATCCCTTATTTTTTGTTTTTGTTTTAATAAGCTTTCAAGTTAGGTTCAAGGGTCCAACCTAACCCCCCTTTTTCTTTCCATAACCCTTTTTATTTTTTATTTTATTTTATAAAAACTTTTTAACTATATTACTAACCTAATTAATTTAACTAATTAAGTCAGAAAATATAATTATTTTATTTATAAAACAAGATGTTACAAGATGACAATCATACCGGATGATGTGTTTGCTTTGTTGCACCTCCCCATTATTGGGAATTTCTTTACATATTAACACATGATTGCAAATGAGACCATTACACCACTTTGATTGATTTGAGGATGGTGACTCCATGTATATATGCATATAACCATACCAAGTAGACATTTAAATTGACACGAGGTGTCATGGATGATGAAAATGTATATATGTTGCACATTATGTATGCATCTTACCTATTGACTAAGTTAACAAAGACAAAACCCCTATTAATGCTAGTTTTCTAAACAATGGCAACATAGACTCTACTTATAAGACTTTACATACTATATGTTGCCATTGATCAGAAGATTGCATGAGTAAGAGTTTTGACTTTGTTAACTTTGTCAACAGAGAAGATGCACAAAGAGGTATCAACAAGCTAGATTTTTTTCTTTTTGGTAGTCTAAGTATTCTACTATAATACGTGGTGTCACAGATGAGGGAAATTCATATATGCACGTTATATGTTATTTGTTTGATGATTGGTGTTACAAATTAAGCAATTTAGACTGACTATGGTTGGTTTGGAACACCTATTTCGTAATGGCTTGTTATGTTCCAGAAACCCATTTCGAAATGGTCTTTTATGTTTAGCAAATGATATATTGTGTTCCAGGAACATCCATTCCGCCATGGTATATTATGTTTCAAAACACCCATTCTGGGATTATATGTAGTGTTACGGAACTCCCATTCCAAAATGGTCTGGGTTATGCAATCCAAAATACAAGACAGGTGTTCCATAAGAGGTGAAGGGTAATCTAGGAATTTAAAAAATTGGATCGGTGTATGTATTAAAAATGAAGGGTTCAGGAAGAAAATCCCATTGATTAATATAGCCATGCCTCTCTAAAATTGTTGGCTATAATAGTTTCACTCAGAAAATCTTTTTTCCCTATCCATATTGCTTGAACATACAAAAGATATAGTGCATAGCCCATGTACTGCACAAAAAATGAAGAACAAGAAGATTAGTTTAGGGAACATGAATAATATTACTGTATTCAGGTTACAAAAAATCAATAAAGAAACAAGTCCGAAAGTAATTCAAATAATGAATTAACAATATTTTTTTGACCCGGGATATTCCTATATCGAAAATTAAAACTAATCATTCAAGATATTATTAAATCAGTTCAAGGAATTGACCCTTCCAAAAAAATATTCTTTCATACATAGTGAATGAATCAACTTTGATACATTACCAAATTTTTACTATCTTCTAGTCTAACAAATTATAAAAGAAATGCTAGTGACA